TCGTTACATGCGCGCGAACTTGATGTATAATTTGCAAAATTTTGTGTTACTCACTCATTTATTGGAGGGCACTGTACTTATGTGGACTGAGACAATAACTTGTTGATCGGAATGGGTCAAGCAAACGTTTTGTGCTCACTTGTAACTGTAATAAACAATAGCGTCAACGTTACAATAATTTAGCTTTACTTTCTTTGTTATTCCGTGTTTGTGTTGTAGTGGTTTTATTCTCCAAGTTAAACGCGTCTGCACTTTTTAGTAGATCTTTTGCTTCTCATTCCTTGCACTCATTATAATGTAAGCTGTTCTAAAAATTTTGGCATGTAACTATCTTTGGACTCGTGAATTATATTTTAACAATCCAACGTGCTATCGTTTTCGAGACCTGCAATAAATCGCGCGGTAGACCGATTTGTAACTCGTTTCGGCCGGTATAAGTGAAAGCGATGAATAATTCGGTTGGCATTTCTACCAAAACTTGTTGATTCTATCAAATTTATTCGACAAATTATTTTTACTATATAAGATATAACAACAATTGGTTGAATATTGCTTTGTCGTCGTTATAATGTAAGTTCTCGACATAATATTATTCGCGATAAGCAACCATTTGGGTCGGAATCGCAGTTACCAAAGGTTTGATTGTTTACAAAGTACCAAGTTTTTTGAAATTCAGAGCCCAATCAACAAGGACAATCTGAGATTATAAAACACGTGATTTTCATGGATAAAAGACTTGATAAATATTTCTGGAATTGGTGATCTAAAAACCTGGAACATTATTATAGTTTCTTTACCAGATTGTGTAGATTGTGGGAGATATATCTTAATCAATTTTCTCGAAAAAAGGTTTTCAGTTCAGAATTTTTTTATGCAACCTTTGATTACGCTTTACTGTATCCAAGGACGAAAATGAATTAAACTTGTTTCAATATTACATTATCATTTCAATTAGGTGATGAGGTCATGTTAATATGTGCCATCAAAATTCCAAATTTAAATATGAAATTATTATTTATTACAACAAAATAATCCAAGTTTTTGATACTTTATTTATTCCTCATATTCAGGAGCGCCAATTTGACATGTCGTTTGTTGCGTATCACAAACTCCAGCGTCAGGAATATCAGGTTTCGTCCCGACAGCAGCTACACACGCATCGTGCTGAAGAGCACATTGCTTCTTGTGTGCAAGAAATTCGCTTCCAAAGGCAAATTGACCAACAAAGAAAGTTCTGCCATCTTGCCTAATAAATGGCATTTGAATACCCCCGAGAGGATGATCACGTGCTTCGTTTGTTCGTGGGGATTCAGGAGGTCCCCGTGCGGCATTTGCAAGAAGAGCCATACTTAGAGCCGTTATAAAAATTGCAGAAATCTTCATACTCGAATATTCGGCTTTGGATAAGGGAAAAGGTCGGGTTGATGTGATGGTGGTGATTGAAGATTGATAAACAACTGAATCGTTTGATTGCAGAACTTTTTGGTTGTAAATTCTAGTCAGTCTATGGTATATTTATATCTTCACATAACCCATTTGCGTTGTTTCATTTTAAGCTAATTAATTAATCTATTACTATTGATCTTCAAACAGGATGTGGATCCGATGGCAATCAATAGTCGGTAATAATCTCACACAACGGTATGGTCGCGCAAGGTTTGTTACTAACTACTTTTATATCAAAGCGTCATAATAACCATATTATTTGCGTAACACGACAGCGGAGGCTTTCGGCACTCGTGCAGGAAGGCTCCTGGCGTGGCACTGGTTAAAGCGCTGTGCTTACTGTAGTTGTCGTTCTCCGTCATCACTTTTGCCCGATCGCAAACCCTGAATTTAAGACAATAGTTCATATTGTTACCCCCGGGTAATTTTATATTTCAAATTTCGGGCATTTCATCGATGCGCAAAACTATTACGATCTTTTTAGTTAAACCACAGTGTTTATTTCAGCAAAAAGTCCGTATGAGCTAGGTTCGATCGTGTGAATGTATGACATGTTTTCAATATTAAAGATGTTTTATGTTGTAAACTACGAATACGTTTGCTGACGTCATGATACTTCTGTCATGTCGGAGAACAACTAGCTTTAGGAAGTTCGAAATAAATTTTCGGTGGTATTACCATTATCCCCATCCATAATTGAACACTGATTTGTTCGATAATATGATTCCGCTTATTAAGGAAAAAGTAAATATTTAATTAATACTTGCCTGTTTTTTCTCATTAAAACAACAAGCGGTGGTTTGTCGGATATTATCAACAAAGTATTAAGCGAAAATAAAAGGCAAAATTACGACCTTCCGTATTATATAAACCGAATATAATATGGTACAAAACACGCTACATACACCCGCAAATTAATTGATGAATAAAGAGTCTCCAAATTCAATAGTTTCTTGTTATGAAAAATAGATTATTATAACACAAACTGCATAATGTGAACGCGATGGCCCAGCATGAGGCTTTCCTCATTATTACTCCATTATGGACTGTGACCACCGATTATACGCATACGAGTCACCTCTAAACAAATATTCACTAATAATAATAATTTCTCGTATTCTTACTAATATTCGGAGAAGCCTGATCCAACGAATGTAGATTATTGATATGTCGCTTGGCATTGTATCGAATTCTCTTGGTTCAGCAATTAAGGTATTAACTCTTTACTAAGCGTTGAGGTAACCTAGATGCAACAGAATAACATAACTTGGTGATGATGACAATGTGCGTTGTAATTGAGTTGCTTCTTTGACAGGTAAACTTCAGCAAACGTTGAGTCGTTTCGTTGCATCCAACCATATCGTAGACATAAATTCGTCTCGGTACCATGATCGTAATTCGCCACTCTAAATGTCAAGAAAGTTATCAAGTGTTTTGCCTACAAAGAACACATAGTGAAGCCATTATGTTACGAGCTGACGGAAAGACTCGTCTTATTTTGAATAATATTAACACAACATATTTAACTTTCGTTTCTTTGTCGATTCTCAGCGAATAGTTTCGCGCTATCTATCATAGCTCAATTGCCTTTAACGAACGTATCGCTCCGTTGTACAAACATGATACGTTTCTTTTCCCGCAATAGACTGTTCGAGATATTCTCATCTTGAGAGCTTTAATGACAATTTAATATTGCATTTATTATTCTTTGTTCGAACGTATATAATATCTTGGTGAACGATTTGATGGTTTAGTCAGAGACTTCCGGAACATCATCTTTATGACGCACGGTCTATTCTAATTTTGTAAAAAAAACAACAACAGGTGGCTTGTTCATCTGGCAAACACCGAACTGTATTGAATATAGTTTTATTGTGTCGAGCCATGACTTAAGACATACATATCTCATCTAAAGAGCTTGTTTCGCTAAGCCTCCTAAACGTATCAAATACGTAATGTGCATCTTTCCAGCCAAAATCATGATCATACCTCCTACTAATAAGCTCACCATTTTCGTCTTTAACTTCCGTTTTGACGACCAGAGCAGACTGATATGAAGGTGGTACGTTCGCTATATAATAAACAACGAGTTTCCATTTAATTCCCTGAATACATCTACATTCAACCAAATCTTTTGAAATTTATCAGTACTGATGATATTGGCCAGCATTACTGCAGATATACAAAGTTTTCGCACGGTGCTCGTCTGCACTCCCGTTATCTTAATATCCTTCACTAAATTCTTCATATTGTACGGATTGTCTAGCTCAGTATTATCTAACGGCCCCGTATACAAACTTGATTTCAAAGTTAGGGATTAGTTTCTTGTATTTCCAAATCTTCATAATCTCCTTTCATTGCTATCAAGAACCGATTTCACATGTATCCCAGCCATGAGAAAACATACATTTCTTCGTTCCCAATGTATATTGGACGGGACATGAGCCCGAGTTTTATTAATATAGTACCGCAGCCGTTCTACGTATTAGGAAAAACAGGTTCTACAAACCCATCCTCTATTTCTGTCACCTTGCAACTTTTGTAATTAGTTTGACCCAGTTAATAAAATCCGTGATGTTTAGTACGCGTTCGTCGTCATTCAGTAAACGAACAATATCCATGAGTATCGATGGAATGTTGCTTGTTTCTCAGTCTTCTGTGGTCGTTGTACTGATGAATATTCGTTTCTGAAAGGATGAGACCAAACTTGTCTGCATCATTTATAAACAAGAATGTAGATAAACCAAAATAATTTATTGTTATCATGTCGAGCCAAAAGTGCGGACGCTTTATTTCATACATTCCGTGAACGTTTCCAAATGCAAAACGGACAAACAAGGTACATAGTGAACTCTGTTAAACCGAAGTGTGATCGGGAGAAATGTTAAGAAATTCGGTTTATCGGGGTAAATTTAATATAATGTTTGAGAACTTACCTTTGATTTAGCGAGGTTTTGCTTAGACTGTATGAAAATTTAGGCTACTCTACTGTACGGTTCAGCATACTAAAGAAGACTCTATCATCACGTCCAAACACCAGAGGGTTCTATAGATAATTTTGTAAGAGCGTTGTGAGTGAATTATGCGTGTACGTAAATGAAGACAGGCAAAAACTTTTAATTTTTACCGAGTAACTTGGAAGAAAGCTGCATATAAGCTGTAGTCGCGTTAATAACATTTTGTGCCCTCTTAATCCTGGTCTGGACTTGCTTCTCTCCTACGTCGATGGCTTTGGCGATACGATCGATGGACAATGGTTTCGTAATAATTTACGGTGACTGAACCAACGACAGTTACAGTGTCGGTCGCGGTCCTAATTCGAAGACACGAATGAAAAAACGGTTTAAATTCCCTGCGCATAGTTATAGTAAAGCCCAATTATCTGTAAATTTTAGCTCAAGTTCGAATGTTGTCAGCGAATTTTCCAAATATTAAATGTTTCATCTCTAGACCATACGCAATTTTTGCTACAAAAAATTAAACTTCATATCTCGACACTTTTTTCAATCAAAGTTGTGACATAGATTTTGCCGCATTATCAGAATGTGTTTATACAATTGTTGATACTGTGCGATTTGTACTACGTGTGAACGACTATATCATGCGCGTTAATTATTGATTATAGTTATTCGATTCGGACTAATATTCAATAAACGTATGGAGCACAAATTTGACAGGCAAAACGATGCTCTAAATAAGTAACACGCAATTAGATTTGTTTTTCAATCTCTCCAGCAATCTTCTTTTTCAAGTCCCCTGCAGCTTCCTTTAATTCTTTTAACGTATTTTCCTTCCCCAGATTTTTGAAAGTAACTATTAACTCAATTTTTTAAATTTTCCTTAAACTCCTTCAGTGTTTCCTCTTTCTTAATTGTTTTTCAGCTCTCGTCTAATTTCGTCAACTGTTGCTCCAAAACTTGATGTGAAGATGTGCTGCGTAATGTGATATACTAAATTTGAGTAACACACATCGTTTAACGATCATAACGCCGAAAATCATTTCACCGACGTAAGATTTCACCGACAATCATTTCACCGACAATCATTTCACCGAAAATCATTTCGCCGACAACACTGCCAAAAAAGGATAATTTCGAAATAATGTTGGTGAATATGTCGGTGAAATGATTGTCGGTGAAATGATTGTCGACGAAATGATTGTCGGTGAAATATTACGTCGGTGAAATAATTTTCGGTGAAATGATACGGACCCGTTTAACATATAACGAGATTAACATAATAAAAAATGTAAGCAGAAAATCCATCATAACGTTTTGTTTAAATGCTTGACCTTTACGTGTGTCCAGTTTTAAGAAAAAATTTAAGCAAGTTTATCAAGTTAACTAGTTTAGACAAAAACTTTGCAGTAGGGAAAGCTGCTTTTTAAAAACCTTTACAAAACATAACACAAACAAAAATTAATATATTAAACATATAATGACAGTTGTTAACCATGCATGCCATGCTTTGTTGTCATTATAAAGTTAAGTTCTCGATATAGTGTCATTTATAATATGTATTGGTTTGATTATGTTGATTTCTTGCCATACCCCACCAAATGTCCCATCACCGAATGCCAAATTTTTAATCCGTCGCTGGAATTTAGTATTAGGGTTCAGGAGAAGTTTTTTACTTCCTGAGATTATAAATCTAACACTTTGGCATACGGAAAACGTAATTCACATGATAATATTACTGGAATTGGTGAGCATATTGGTCTAAAGAATCTGGAACAATATTTTATTGGAAGAAAGGTTTCCGTTTCAAAACTTTTCTATGCAACATTGTTATCGATAATATTGGGGCGGTTTACTTACATCCAAGGATTAAACTTGTTCCAATATTACAATATCAGGATCAATTTCAAATTAGATGATGAGGTCATGTTTATATTACATACTTTTTATTTTTCCGCCTATCATAGTAATCTAAATTTTAATTCATATACAGGGGGACCCAGTTCACAAGTTGTTTGTTGCGTATCACAAACTCCAGCGTTGGGAATATCAGGTTTCGTCCCGCAGCAGCTACACACGCATCGTGCTGAACAGCACATTGCTTCTGGTGTGCAATAAATTCGCTTGGAAAGGGAGAATTGACCAGCAAAGAAAGTTCTGCCATCTCGCCTAATAAATGGCCCCCCGAAAGAATGATCACGTGTTTCATTTCTTGGTGGGGGTGCATTCGGGGGTCCCCGTGCGGCATTTGCAAGAAGAGCCATACTTAGAGCCGTTATAAAATTGCAGAAATCTTCATACTCGAATATTCGGCTTTGGATAAGTAAAAGGGGGCGGGTTAATGTGATGATGGTGATTGAAGACTGACAAACAACTGAATCGTTTGGTTGCAGAACTTTTTGTTGTAAATTCTGATCAGTCCATGGTATATTTATATGTTCTCATAGCTCATTTGTGTTGTTTCATTTAAGCGCAATGTCAGCGATAATTAATCTATTGATCCGATGGGTAATCGACACGCTTGCATGTTGGTAATAATTCACACGTCGATATAGTCGCGCAAGGTTTCTTTTATATCGAAGCATCATAATAACCGTAGTAGTGTACTCCTGTCGCCGCCAACCGAAAATTTAAGATTATTTGATGTAATATGCGTAACACGACAGCGGAGTTTAAAGCGCTGTACTTACGGCCCCGTTATTACTTTTACCCGATCGCAGATCCTGAATTTAAGGCAATAGTTCATATTTTTACCCCGGTGATTTATTATGTCTCGAATTGCGGGCGTTTCTTCGATGCGCAAAAATATTATAATTTTTTTAGTTAAACCACAGTGTTTATTTCAACAAAAAGTCTATATGAGATAGGTTCGATCTGGGGGGTCAACAGTGTGAAATGTATGACAACATCTTGTCAATATTAAAGATGTTTTATGTTGCAGGCTACACAATACATACATGTTAGCCCCGGAGCATTTAAAAATCTCTTCTTGTAGACTTGGAGCGGGAGATAATCGCATTGTATATACAACTAAAAACATCGTACGACAGTGTTACCAGTTATATTTCTCCGTATACAGACGTGGTATACTAGTCTTGTTGATACGAGTTGGTAATAATTTCGAGTCGACGAGAAACATTGAAAATTTTTTTCTTGCCTTGAAAAATGCCAAAACTTGTATTTTCTGGGATATGTATAAGTATATTTTGACAAGTTCGTCCCGTCTAGGAACCACGTTATGTTGAATTTTACCTTTGGATTACACGTACATCCATGACGAAGCAACTTCTATTGCTACATTCTGATTTCGTCGAAATAATTTCTTCAGGGGACAAATAAACGGTTATGGGTCATTATTAGTTGCTGATTTACGACTATTATTAGACTTCTGACAATATTATGACCGCAAGTACTGATTCGGATTTTTCCCGAGTGCGTCGCCGATTGTTTTTGCGAGCAAATCTTTAATCTATTTTCACAACAAGCGATGATTTGTCAGATATCATTAACGCGCTCGGGCGAGGTCATTTGTCTCTTTCTTATTATAAAAATGAGTGAACCAATCATCAATTCAATATAAATAGATCATATATAATACAAAACTGTATAATGATCTCAAAGTCGAGAGCAGTGTACGCGCAGCGACGAATATTCGTAATCGTTGCCGTAGTGCTCAAATTGGACTTTTAGCGAGCATCTCGTTGTGAACAAAAAGTTCCTCGTGACAGTTATAGTATAATAATGAAATTTAAGCGATTAAGCGGTAATTCGACTGCGCTCTTCCATTTCATGCTGAACTTACCAATGTACAGTCTACGCAAAACGAAAGAAACAACTTAAATATTGAGCAGGGAAATTGTTATTGGCAAGACGAAATGTGCGGATCGTCTGCAAATTTTGAGGGCGAAGAAATTGCATGATCAATATTATCAAAAAAAAACCAGTCCAAGCTCGAACTGAACTCTCCATTGTCATAAGCGCAGTGTCACTCCAAAAAAATATTGTCTTTTAATTCGCTGCAACTGAGCAAGTAAGGGGAAATGTGTCGCACAAGTGTGCCGAAATTTCCATTATTCCATACCGGGCTCTAAGACAGGTTGATAAATATCCCGTGCTGTAAATGACACTTTCAAAACTCCACGTTCAGAAATGGATGTCTTTTTTTTTTTCATCAAAACTGGTTACAATCGTAAGGATGCAATCACAAAATTTTCGGCTAGCACGAATTCAAAGATGATGGAATACGTTAATGTAATATAATTGATTTAAATGTTTGATAGTCGTTGGAACATTAGGATTAGGGAAAAAAAAGAAAGGAAAAAAAATCGGCAACGGTTTGTGGAACATACAAATGTGATGTGCGATGATGTAATAATATTTTCGCTAGTAAAAAAAAAGCCCGTCCAATTAAAAAGATTTAGAATTTAAAAAAATTTCCTCAAATGTAGGTTAGTGAAAGCCAAGCCAAACGTTTTCGAATAAAAGTATAAACGGTCTTGTTTAGTATTGCTTTGTGAAGCGGGTTATACTTTTATTAAGAACCAGTAAGTACGCACATACCTATCATATATACTCAAATGACATATACAGTTAGCACTTATGAAACCTAATTTACATTAACATCGAATCTGTATTGTTAATCATATTGTTTGTAGTTTAAAGTAGATGTTATATAGAACAAAGATCACATGCAGTGCGACATGTCGCTTTTCACAGCCAAATTTACTCGATTCCCCGTAACTACTCGATACTTTGCTAATGCTGTGTTACGTAAATCCGCATCGTCCCATTCGCCTCACACCCCCCCCAAAAAACAAAAGCGTTATTCCTGTTCACTTGCTCTTTTCACAACCGTAATAATCTACGCTTCGTTCTTTTATTATAATCAGAGTTACTCTACTCGCAGCAGAACGTAGAAAAGTTCATTCGAACGCAGTCTTGTCCAATCGCCTACACTTGTTTCCCACTACAACGTACAACCACAGACCATAGATGGCTCCAACAACCGCATCTAACCCACCTCCGTTCTCAATTAACGGATTGAGAGCTAAAAAGAAGAACGAGCTGATTGGTAAGTATAAAACCTTACCGTAAACATGTCTTGAGAGCAGGCAAACAACGAAAACAAGTACTAGACGTAATAATAATAAACGTTAAACCTTACATCTACAGATATTGCTTCCTCCTTGGGTTTGGACACATCCGGTTTGAAATCTGACTTGGAGAGCAGGATCAAGTGAGTTGGCGGGAGGGGTTGAATGAGGGAGGGGCTGTGCTTTATATACTTTTGTTTTAACTCAGTCATAAGAGTAATTAATTGCCCAGCATAATTCATTAGAACACTGGATATCATTTTAAATTATTAAAAGGAACCTTTATACATTTATTAACATTACGTCACTTAATTAATCAGGTTATACTATAATCAACAGACCATCAATCACGCAACGGAAGACGCTTCGCCGGCAACTCGTCGGTCTGGTCGCACCTTTTCTTCCCAAACACACCAGGAAGCGGTGAATGGAAACAGGTAGGAAGGAAGAGACGTGTAGTGATACTTGGTTCAAGGAAGTTTTTTACAGAACCGTAATTTGTCGCAATGTGCCGTAATTTGTCGTAATTTAGTGTAACTTGTTGTAATTTGTTGTAATTTGTCATAATTTGTCGTAATTTAGTGTAATTTGTCGTAATTTGGTGTAATTTGTCGTAATTTGTCATAATTTTTGTAATTTGGCATGATTTGTCGTAATTTATTCATAGCAACACTTGGCTTGACAATTCATTTACTAAACTTGTACTCTTTTTTTGTCTTGTTTTTTCCAAAGAACTGAAGGTCTCCAGACATCCATTAATGAGAAGCAGGTAATTGCCTAATGAATTGTAACCATGTTCATCACAAAAGCAAGTGAATTGGTCGTTTTCCTTACTTGAATCTAAACCAACATTAATACAGGAAATTCAAGATGTTCCGAGAGAAACAACTCCATATCCCCCACAACCATCAGTAGTAGAAAATTCACAATTGACGCCAATTCCTAGGGATACAGAAACACAACCCGAGCCGACAAAAGTATCACCATTGGAATTGCTAAAAAGTTACCTAAATGTGAATTCACCTCGACGTATTGCTGACAATATGCGGCAGGTTCGTTGATTTACTTAAGGGGCATGAATGTGTGAAAAAGTGAATGGGAGAAATGAAGGGTCGTGAGGGTATGATATGGCATGAAAAACGGGAGATTACGTGTAAACACGATGTTGAGAAATAATTAAATTAACTAATATTTTTCTTTTTTTTTAAATAGAAAGTAACAGATGCCCAGTCGTTAGTTAAAGTCTTTTTGGCTACAGAAATATTGATATTTTTATATTCTGCGATTGAGTGGAAATCAGATGTAAGTATACAATTCGTTTATCAATGTAACTCTATGATTTACGTATCTGTAAAAACCGACTAATTTTTTGTTGCACCAAAGGCCATCTTAGATCCAACTTCTGACGATTCTTATTATCCCGGTCCCGACCTCTCAGTTCTTATTGACTGGCACCAGTTCTGGCGTCCGCTTTTAAACTTTTTTGCTTTCCTAGTCGTTGTCCCGTATTTGCTTTCTTATATCTTCAATTTCGAACCGTCTCGGCTATCATACAGTCCATTCGCGTTTGCAGTGGCACAGGGCGCGATGTTGGCTGTTTCCTCGGGGAATCTTGATTGGAGTGAAGATGTTCGTCAATACATACCTGATGTTGTTGTTTATGTGGGCGCCACAGTCGTGGGTTTGTTTGCTTTTTACGAGAGCATGCTGTTTACCAAGATGAAGGCGTAAAAAAAAGGATGGAGAGTTTCTTTTTTGGTGGAAATAGACGTGGTGATTGAAAAAGAAGGATAGAATGATTAATTTTATGATCAAATTTTTAGAGATGAATGTGTTGTTTTCATACGTGATCAGTGTGTAATCGATGCATTTTGTTTTTTTATCGAATTTTTTTTTTTTTTTCATATGCTATGTAAATTTGTTATTTTAGTTATCCAAATATATATTATGTACTCGGATCGCGGGATCGGTTTTTTGCCTGAATTCTCTGCGGTTCTGTGTACTACGAAATATTATTATTATTATTATTATCATTTATCATCATTATTGTTATTATTATATCATTACATGTTTATTACAATGGTTTCCATTGTTGCTGTTCTTTTTTTTTCGGTTGTAAATAAAACAGGAACGAAATATCGTTAGATAGATACTCTTAAATCGAACCACGACTTGGTCGTTTACCTGTGGAGCTAAAACAATCATTCGCAACGAATTTGGATGTCACCTGCCCCGAGAAGTCAATATGCCAAAAGACAAAAGGGGGATTATTTCGCGTATTATATTTATAACCGGGTTGACTACATAGTGAAAGACCAAACACTCGCTGTAATCATTGCTACCGCTAAAAAAAATACATGCTTTATTCTTATGCGAATATTATTTACTTGTTTCAAAAACTACTTGCTCTACTATAAAAATTTAAAGGTGTATTTCAATGCAGGTAAACATGTAAGCTATCTAAAATCGTGTTATATTGATAATTTGTCATCTGAAATTATCAAATTATAAGCAAGATTGGGCTAGCAGTAAAGAGGTACATACCTATACTTTGATTTGCATTTAAATTTTCAAGTTTTAAAAATCATGCGAGTGTTGCGTAAATTGACGCGCATTTACTACGTGTGGCAATAAATATTCCAAATGCAAGGGACAAAATTAACACGTTTCCAAATTTGAAAAACTTGACTGTTTACGTCTGTCCGTAGTATAAAGGCACGAGATTTGTTAACCATAAACACACACCATTGAAAACTGGATTTATCTTAAAATCATCCACATAGTGCGTACATTTTAGAAAGTTCCTTGTATTTCCCCAAAATATTACATCATTACACACTCTCTCAATTGTGTTGACGCAAATGCTATTTTTTATTGTTTATTTTAAAAAGTAAGACAATTTGCTTGTTTGGTCCAATTAATGATTAGCTTTGTATAAGAAAAAGCCTCATTCAAAACCAGTTAATACATAACGAAAACATAACAATAGCTTATTGTTATGTGTAACAATTGCACCCCTGACGTCCTTTTGTGGTATGATATATCGATATGACATTATTACTATTACTATGCTATGTTCATTTACCCCATGTTATATAGTTGAGTTATAGATGCAGGTGCATATTTGATAAACCAACAGGAACAATAAAGCGTTATTGATAAATTTCATCTGATTTACTCGAATGTGTCGTTTCAATTGTGTATCAACAACATAAACAGTAATGCGGTAACGATGCAGTGCAACTATCGACTATGAAAGTAATTCCGAGCAATTAACCTTGTCATCGGCGATTCAATATTCAACTATCGAAATAATCTCAGAATGACTCGGTTTAAAAAAAAACACAAGCAAAGCCATTAATATTAAAACCATTACCCAAATATTCAGTAAATAGGCAACAAACATTCAATATCGTAATAATCGCCTCCTCCCCCCCTCCGCCATTCACCATCACCTCACCTATACTCCTCACCACTCCTCACTCAAAGATCGACACATGCCTAACTCATTTTATCAATACATTTCCCTTCAGACGTTCATCATTCTTTTACAGCCCCCCCATCACCATTGATGCTCTTGCTCATCTACTTGTACTTTTTGCTCAACAAAACACTGGTTTTTTATTCCCCCGTTTTATTATTATCATCCCATCCTTATAAAACGGGTTATAAACAGTTCTCAAACATAGTTTTTTTTCGAAACCATTCCACAACTATCTGAAACGGAAACGACTCCACGTGCAAGCCGGAACAATACGTCAGCCGTCCTCCCATATTGGGTCAGACCATTGCACGAGTATGATGGTTATTGTATGTAACATATTTATCGCATTCAATTGAGTAAGTAACTGTTTATTAGGACTCCCAATGTGTGCTGTAGTCGTTGCGAAGATCTCTATCGAATACACAAGTTGCCTTTGGAAGAATCCCTGACGTAAACTACGGGATCGCTATAAGACCTTCTTTTTTTTGTGTGCACTACCGTTTTTTTCTTCTTCCCCTTTTTTTTTTTTTCAACAACGCAACTCTCTCCATCATAAATCAAAAAACTGTTTACATTTATAATTGCCTAATATCGTTACTATCTCAGAGAAGACCAGTTTCTAAAAAGTAACTATAAAAAAACTCATTATTCCCACATAATTTACCGAGAACTTTGTAGGAACATACTCTTCCTGTTGGAAAATACACATCAACCCTCTTTAAATAAGGGGCCGCTAAAGACGACAGATTTTGTAAAGTCTCGGTTTGCTTTTTTTTTCTTTAAAGACTCTATCAACGGGGAATTGGTTTATCTCATTCAGTTGGTCATAAAGTATACCGACAGTAATAATCAATTACTTGGAGAATTGAATACAACGCTAAAATGGCAAACTCTTACACAACGCGAGTTTTCCCACAACCCGATATTCGCTCACCTCACGCACAGCCAGCAGGGTCGAATTCTTCATTTAACACTTCTATTGCCTCTTCAGTCCTACATACTCCAACTTCCTCTTCGCTGACTTCAACTTCGCACCTCCCGCCTACTGCTACTCCTCCTCACCTCTCTTCTTCACCTTCGTCCTCACCCTCCCTATCCACGCCTTCCTCTTCTCCTACTCTGTCTTCCTCTCATACGAAATTATCGTCTCCATCCGATCACATTTACAAACCTGCATTATCGGTTTCTGCGCAATCACAATCTACCTTCTTAGCATACGATAATTCTGTGTTTGATATAAACACTCTAGTCGATGCAGCATTATCACAAGCAAAACTTGATCCCGAGGTAGTTGCTGCAGCCGCACAGCTTTGTCGATTGGCTAACGGACGATGGGAGCCTTCTTCATCATTGTATTTTGGCGGCAGTAGTAGTAGTAGTAGTGGTGGTGGTGGTGGTGGAGGAGGAGGAGGGCCGAATGGGATGACTGGTGTCAATAATTTCAACAGTATCAACAGTGTCAATAATAGTAATAATAATAGCAACTTTGGCGGACTAAATTCAGGAGCAAGCGGAAATACTTTTACTATTGAAAGGAATTCTAAACCAAATAGTAAAAGTCCATCTGTAATGGCCTTGTCAAATCTTTTACTTCCGGATGAGTCTAGTCAAAGCGTATATGACTATGCATAAAGTTTTATATCAAGGTAAGCTTGTTCTTTTTTTTTTTTTTTTAAAAAAGCAGTTCGTATTGGAATAACAATGTTTTTTTGGAGAGATGAGAGGGAGGGCAATCGCAAAAGTTGATATTGGAATCTTGAAACCGACTAGAAATGCTAAACCACACAAAATTGCATTTTTTGGGCTCTTTTTTTCTTTTCTTTTTTAATGCTATTCAGCGGAACAGAATGAAAGATTTTATTTTCGTTTTCTCCCCTCCACTTAGAAATAAGAAGAAAGACAAAAAAAGAAAATGCAGATGTAAAAAAAAAATCCCTTAATTGTGGATTGTGAAATGAAGATTTCCAAAGGCTTTTGAATATTTTCTTTCGCCAGTCTTTTGCATCCTTAACTCTCACCGATTAACAAGTCGCATCAGGTTCGATAGCGCGTATTAGTGATGTCCTATTTCAAAGAATTCAGTGATAAAATCAGAGAATGTCTCTGAGAAATTCGTGTGCGTTTTATATCTTTTTTTTTTCTTTTCTTCTTTGATCATATAATACAAAAAAACGTCTTATTCTTTTGTACTGGAATGGATTGTTGTTTTAGTAAATAGATTCCGCAGACTTGGACATGTTCAAACATAGGAACTTTTTCTTCCAAAGAATTTTCGATCTAGATTTGCATTGCAGACAGTTCTTGTTCTACCCAAACGTTCAGTAAGTCAATTCATTATTAGAGGGGAGTGTATATGTTTCGTAATATCCCCACCAACCATTTGTGTGACGTAGCGTATTGATTAAAAGTAATCGTGTGCTTCGTACGGGAAGGGGGGGGTATTAGTATGTGTGGGGAAGGGAGGTGAGGGGGGGGAGGTGAGGGGATGAGGGGAACAGTCATTGTTTAGGAATGTGAGCCGCTATGCGTGGTGCTACAATGTCTGTACCATGCCATCATAATACGAGCCATTTCAATCAATATTCGTGTGACTTTATACGGTTATACCAGAACTTCGAAATCTTGCTGCAAGTGTGTTTAACTGTTACTTCTGCCAGTACATAATATAGTCGCATGTACCACCGCATACTCTGTGTTGACCGAATGATAGTTCAATAATGGTTATGTAATGGCGCATACATACTTTTTGATCGACTACGCATAAGTCAGTCACGATGATGTTGATGTATTAAGAGTCATTACGCGGGTTTTCAGCTACACGTCCCCTCACCCAAGTACGGTCATCGTTGAAAAAAAAAAAGTCATTTCTTTGCCAATGCAATAAACGGGTCATCATTACAATTGCTTGTTTGTACTTTTAATAGTTTATTACGGGGGGTCTTTTTGGTTGAATCTGTTAATCGACTATACAGGGAAAAACCCTTGTTTTCTCGGGTAAATTACCGCCATTGTGAAGGAAAGACGGTTGAACAGGTTAACGCGTAGGATTGGCTTTGCGATTTAAGTGTCACGTTTGGCAGGGTAATAACTGTTGGTTTAATTGTTGACCCGATTTAATCTGATGAAGGCAACGTGGCTGTCGATACCATTCTATTAACCGTTACTGTATATGTACATTAATCCAATTTTCAGCCGTTGAATTGTAAATTACCAATCAAACAAACGGGCTTGTAAAAGTTTACCACCGACTGATTAAGTGAATGCTGGTATATTATTATTGTAATTGTTATTATTGTTGATGTTGTTGATGTCGTCGTCGTCGTTGTTGATGATGATGATGTTGTTGTCGTCGTTGTTGTTGATGATGATGTTGTTGTTGTTGTCGTCGTCGTCGCTAGTCGTTATTATTACTTGTATTATTGTTATTATTGAATTACTATTATTATTGCGTGATAGAATTACTATTATTATTGCGAAATGACACCTTTGTGCTACAAATTCATTTGTAAAGTCTTTATTCTACTGCGCCAGTTTGTCAATGGCAATAATCTAACAATTTGCCAATGCGTTTTTTCATAGTGGATAAATATAGCAAACCATTTCCTTGTATAGTAACAATTCCTAATTTATTTTTAATTTGGGAATATTAGAAATAATAAAGAGCGTTATCTGCCACTTTTTGTCAACATCACGTCTTCTACAGCATGCCATTGTTTGAATGTATATCGCTTATGGGTCAATGTCTTTACTTTGGCGTAAAGATTTATTCAGACGCCTTCCAATGGCTCGACAATCGCTGGCAAGGACGTTTACATTTGGTGAAAACCGTTAACCAATCATTGGTGAACAAATATGCTGTGAACGCTCATTGACAATTTGTTTATTATGCCTACCTTGTTAACAAGTTTTGTATTTGTATCAGGCTTTGTTTAAAAGACCATAAAGTTGGTGTTTTATTATTTTCTCACATAGGTATTACAACAAGACGGTATGTTGAATGGCTGGTACTAACTAATGCTAATACTAATATAATACTAACAATAACACTGATTATGATAGTAAGTCAAAGAATATTATTATTAGTAAAGGCGATGCACCCCTTCTTTAAATGTCGGAGGAGACCTTGCATAATTTGTTCAGATTAAGTGTAACCAAATGGGAATGATTACTACAAGTGGATTGGTGTTGTGTCTTTTCTCTGAATTTCGTGCATTTTCCTTTTTCAGACGACGCGACCAACAGGAGATCAAAATTTTCCCGTCTATTCCCATTTCTTCTGTCACTCTTTTTAATTTCGCGCGAAAAGAAAAATTATGAGAGCGACAACGCATGTAACGAATATGCAGGAAAGCGTAACAAGGAACAAATATTTGTAATTTTCATATCCATGCATATAACCCGAAGAATATAAATAACCGGAGTTTAAAAAAAAAGACGCATGAATTTGTGTCCTTTTTACAATCCACAATGGCTCAAGAAAGACCTCAAACTCCAACTTCACCCACCAACATTGCCGCTCCGATTCTTTCGCCCACGATAACCCAAACTCCACTTTCCTCGACAAATGCTGACAACTCAACCACCAAAGTAAAATTACTCTCTCTCAACATCTTTCTACAGCCACTGATGACAAACACCCCGTACAAAGCAGACCGTATGAATTATTTCATTACAAATATCCTGCCAAATTATGATATTGTATGTCTTCAAGAGATGTATGGGTTCGGGAGTGGGCGACGACAAAAGTTGATCAATGCTGCAGGGGAGAATGGGTTCGGATATGTGCTAAAGAGCAAGAACAAGTTGACGAGAGGAATGATTGACGGCGGGCTGTTGATATTGAGTAGGTTCCCCATAACAGATTCAGAAGAGATGATTTTCGGTTGTCAGGGAGATCGGTAAGTAACATGGGAAAGCAGCAAAAGAGGGATGGGCAAGGTTGGAGGTGACTTGCAAATCATCCGAACCTAACATTTACATTTACTCGCTGGCCTGGCTGTACCCCTCTAGTTTTGTTCCCAAAGGTTCTCTTTACGCAAAGATAGCCGTAAAGCCTACATGTCCGATTCATCTATTCGTAACACAACTACAATCTTCTTGTGATCCGCATCCCTCATTATCCGATACCAACGTTCGCATACGGTTCCAGCAAGTACATCAGTTGAGACAGTTTGTAGACAGGTGTAAAGCCATATACGAATTCAAGCCAAACGAGATGGTGATGGTTGTTGGCGATCTCAACGTTGATGGCAGAAGGACCGACGAGGATGACGATGGCATGAGTGAAAAGAGTAGGACTTTTTCCAACAAGAAAAGACGACGTAGTAGTAGTAATAATAATAATAATAATAATACCCTTAGCGAGGCAAATGCTAGTCTGGACGATGACAAGAGTGCGATGAGTTATATTCTGGACAGTGACTTTGTTGATAACCAGGAAGATAGCAGAGAATATTTTTTGATGCAGAAAATTCTTTCGGGAAAGGGCATCCCTGCAAACTATGCTAATCCACGGTTCTCTATTGCTGGGCTTCGATATTCTTCTTCCGCTCAATTCTCTATCCGTGACGTTCTGAAAGAAACCTATTCCGAACATCCTATCACGTATGCCGGCCTGGCTAACAAAAATGGTTCTCCTCAATCACGAGAAAGTGTATTAAAAGCCAAACAGCGACTGGGAAAACAGTGTAGTCTGGATTATATTTTTGTATTGGAAAGTCGGGACGAGGCGGAAAAAGAGGAGGATGATACAGTAGAGATTGATATAAAGAATACAAAAGTTGAGGAATTTTCGACTGATGGGAGTTTTGAATTTTCTCAGATTTCTGGCAAGTGTTGGAGCGGTTTTCCCGCAAGTGTGTTTTAAATTAATTATTAACCAATGCTAATGATTTCCTTTTCTTTTTCACAGACCACTATGGAATCAGCACAGTATTGGTCGTTCCCTAGTAATTTGGATTATTGTGAATATTGACGTGATGTTATTATTATATAAATAATTAATAAACATTCAAGCCAGATTCCTCGTTAACAATAGACAGTACGCCTTTTTTTTGATTCTGTTTCACTAAAAAGCATGCAAATTCTGGAATTTTTCGGATGCTAATATTAAGTTGAACGATTATCAAATTTTAGGGAAAGTTTGCTTCCAAGAAGAAAAATGAAAGCAAAAATTCCCATATTTACACCATTTTGGTGGTGTGTGACCAAACTTATATGACATGGTAATTTCATACTAGTCTTTATGTTTGAACCCCTGAAATCTCCTGCGCCGATTTGATATTTGGTTCTCTGTTCTCATTCGCTGCACATTCTATACGCAGTCACATCCCAAACCTGCCAAGTTTCATGACTTACCCGCAATGCTTTTGTGCAACATTTATCATTCCCAAGCGGGACGAATAGGAATTTTTATTCATTCAGAATATATACATATATATAATATATATATATATATATAAGCTTTGGCTTACTTTGTGTTGGGTTAAAGTCATCCTTATTATATATCGTTTATAACTATAACAAACAGAGAAAACATACAAGTCATAGTGGCGAATTTAATTTATTTAGTAAGGTTGGTATTCATAGTGTTGTGTCTCTCTCTATTGTATATAGATTCACTAATTCGTAAAGGAAGGGATTTCACGCTTGTCAACATACCAACCATTGCAAATAATGGACAGAGAGTTGCTTCGGGATTTCCCCATTGCGCCAGTTGCGCATCAACTTGGCGTTCCTTGGGTGCTTGGTGTTGACGACATTATTAAGGTTGGCAGCCATTCCGATATATAAAAAGCTAAACTTTGGTCGTCTTTTTCATAGAAACATAAACAAAATGCGCATCTTTGACAGATCCAGAACCATAATAAGTGAGAACCTGGGTAAGTTGCTATCCATATATGTAAAAGCGTTGGTTTCCGTTATAATTCCCCGTCAAGGTCTAACTCATAATCGGATCGTTTATCCTTAATGATACACTTCCCTTTCTTCCTCTCTCACTTTTTTCCTCCCCTCCCTCTGATCCAATGTGCTGAATCCAGAACAAGCGGTTAATAAAGCAGAAGATGATTGGGCGTTGATCGCTAAGATCTGTGATACTGTTAACGCAAATGATTCTGGTGCTAAAGAAGCAGCAAAGTTTGTTAGGAAGAAATTGGTGCGATCGCAAAATACGCCCGCTGTACAAGCGCGGACGATAACGGTATGAAATATGTGACGAAAAAAGAAACAATAAGAAGGGGGGTGAATAAAACTCTAGTTGAACTTTGTGAGAAAATTATTTTGTAGGTTCTCAGATCATTAGCCGACAACTGCGGTGCCAGATTTCATGGTAAGAAAAGAAAATCGCTCGTTACGTTAAACCAAGCTTTCAACTTGTTTTTTGAGACTTACCATACATGTCTGAACCCTTGTCACAGCCGAATTGGCATCGAAAAAGTTTCTGGATAATATCGAACAAGTTGCGACAGCTTCGAACACCGATGCAGCTACAAAGGTTTTACTGATTAATTCGCTTCGCGATTTGGCAGAAAGGTTCAAGAATGAGCCGAGTTTATATCCTATTTCAAATTTGTACGGGAGAATCATGCAAAAGGAAATCACAATTACGGTGTGTATTTATTTGGTCGTAAGATGATACTATTGAAAGTTTATTTTAAGGTGCTAAAGTTTGATTGGTCGCTATCATTCTTGTTTTCTTATTGGATAGGGACGAGTAATTCAGAACAATCCAACATGGAACAATCCAGTAAGCGCCTACTACGTTCACTGAATCGGATAACATTTGCATACCAATTGAGTTTTGCTTAAATTTTTTGTTTGTTCTTTAGATGGCTGCAATGACAGACGATATTGAAGTGGCCAAGAATGCTGCACAAGTGCTCAACCAAACGTTAGCATTTACTGATCCTGAGAGCGAGGATATTACTAAAAACGAGTTGATTCAGGTATCTTTTCACAAGTAGAGCGTATGCTCTATTTTATCAGTTTTCTAAACCTTTACCGGATTTATTTATTTAGGAATTCTATAACAAATGTAAACAAATACATCAAAGACTGGGAAAACACTTGGCCGAAGTTACTGATGAGCAACTTATAAGTAAGTTAAAGTTAATTCAATGTCTTTTCATGCGACACCAATTAATTCACTTCTCCGCTCTTTATACAGACACCTTGATCACTGTGAACCAAGAACTACTAAACTCGTTTAAACTATACGATGATATGGTTGATCGACGGAATGTTGGCTTGGCAAAGGCAGAATCAAAGCAGGTGGGCTGAAAATGAACATTATCGACAGTCGCATAAAAGCCAAGATATAAATGATTAACAAAAAATTTATAGGTCACGCGACCCAATGGCGTGGAACACTTTTACGATATATCCGAGGGGGCTGGTGTAGGTCCAAGGTAAAAATTTCAAAAAGCACGTTTTCGTTGAAGATATGCTTACGCTAGTCCTAGTATGCATTATTAATAATATAAATGAATAATAGTAAACCACTGAAATACGGTAATTCTAATCCATTCGCTGACGATAACGAAGCGATCTATGACCCACAAATTAGCGGGCCAAGTGAGAAAGCATTAGGGTAAGTTTGTTTTTGTTTGTTTGCTTGTTTGTTTTTACCAATGTCATAAACCGCGCGGTACCAAATGTAATATGATAAAATTTCTTCTCTCTATTATCTCGAATTCAGGAAACTCCCGGCTAATAACTCTGAAGATGACCAACCGTCATCATTCACAAATGAACATTCTTCTGGCCTAGCCGTACCATTCTCGCCGGAATACCACACAAGTTCAGCCATGTCTGGACAACGCCGAGAAGATCTTTTGATACAGAATTAGGATTAACGATAGTGAAACTAATAGAGGAAAGAAAGCAAAACTGGGGAAGCAAATGAAAAACGAAAAGGATATAGTGATTTTATAGGTTGCATATGGACAATTGCATATCATAGCTCAGGGGGGGGGGGGGTGTCTGACTTGTGCTGGTAAGGGATTTGAAGAATGCAACCTGTTTACATTTTATCCTTTTGCTTTCTAAATTAACTTTTATTGGACGTTTTTAATAAACCAATTGTATAAGTATTTAAATAGATATTTCTATTGATATTAGTATGTTAAATGCCTCTTGAGTTGATGTCTTTTTCAAGTCTGTTGTTATTTTTGTATGATATAACTTTGAATTAACCAGTTCTGATTTGGGGTTGTTTTTTTTAAATACGAACTTAGATACTAGTTATTCGCTAAACAGGCTTTGTACAGAGGTTCTCGTGTCAAAGGTTTATTTTGGGTTACGATCTTTTGTTTTTACCATAACTGCATACTTTGACCTTTGCTTGGCTGTAGTAAACTAATATCTGGATTTTGTATAATAATAAAACACTTTTTGAAACTTTGGACTCGGTATCAAAAGATAGTTATTATCACAATGGGAACAAGATTTCATTCATGTAGGACATAGTAATAGAATAAGAATTTAACTAGTACTAGGCGATCACGATAAGCGAATTCGGTGGAACCATTATAGTTTGAATTTTTCATATACGGGTAATCTTATATATACATATATATATTTTTATCACATTTTAGGTCTTTTACTGTCAATGTTGCTGAGAGAATAATCCATTTTTAAAACCCAATTATAGTTCTTTACACATGGCCTCAAAATTTCAAACTTGAAAGAGAAAACTATTGCCAAATCATGTGTTAATCATCGAGTCATAGTCATGGCAATTACATACGTAAAATGTGCAGACAATCCATTTATTGTCAATTAGCAATTCAGAGGGGTAGCAAAATCGCATGGCATATAAAAAAGACTAAAATAAAGTTCACCAGATACATTATGGCGGTTCCAGTTGGCAAAAGCAACACTACATCAAAAAGTTCCATTTTCTTTCTCGTCAAAAAATAAAATGGTGGTTTACCTTGGTTGAAAAAACCATTACATTATTATGATCATAATGAGATTTCCTATGGATTCAAGCAAGCAAATTATGTTGTGCAGTATTTACATGCATGCTGTCATGTTATCAATAAGACGTGTATTTAAATGACAGTCTTGGTTTCTTCAGGACGCAGCGACGTTTTGTGTTTAATCCATGAATCTGCTATTGTAGGATTGCGATAATGTATGTCGCGATTTCTTTGCTTCCACCTTCATTATTTCAGTTGCACGATTGCATATTAGATATGTATAGGACTGGATCGTTTTCCGTGCCTGCCCATTGCAAAAATAGCCAGTTTCGAGCATTTGACACGATTCCATACACCATAACTGGAACTTTCCTCAGAATCTTCCAAATCCACGTCTTCTAGCTTGCGCTTCCTTAGGTTCTCTACAGCACTGTGCATTTGTACTATGTTTTGAGCTGCTCCTTTGTCGAAATCCATTTTCTTCGCCTCTGTTACGCATATTATGATGTCATCTAACACGACCGTGTAGTCCACAGAACCAAAGCCAAAGCTCATCTTCAGCTCTAAGCACAAGAAGCGGATTGCTTCTTGTAAATACTTTACAGCATCGTGGTTAAGAAGGGAGAAATGAACTCTCGGCATGTCATTTCGCATCGTTATCGTCATCGACATGATCGTCGGCAAGCTCACGTTGTCTTTAACGTAGTTTCATTTATTCTAGACAAAAGTCGTTCCGGGATTGTCGCATACATCATTTGCACTCCAACTTCACGAGCAAGTCTATAAAACGCCCTTGCCTTCCGCGGGAAATCATTAGAAATTCGGAAGTTTCTGTGTCTTTTGTGATCTATCTTAAGCTTTAACAGGATCTCTCCGGCTAAATATAGTGCTTTGTTCTTTTGAATGTTAGTTACGGCGATACTGTACTCGTTGTATTGAACCTGTAGTGCATCAATGAGCGTCTGGATCGTGAACGGGGCGTTGGAGAATGTCGTCGAGGGCGAGGGAAGGAAATTCTCCTTGTTCAGGACGCTTTTGCAGTTTTCATAACAAGCTAGGAAACGGGAATAGCTACGCATCTGCCTACTACAGTTACTCTCACAGATTTTTCGTTAAATTTGACTTCAACTTGGCTTCCACACAGTCGGTTTTGTTTGGATTTTGATTCGGTGTAAATGGATCAAAGTCTTGGCCAGCAAGTGCAGCAATAAAATCACTGTCCGAGTTTTCATCACCATAGGCTCCCAGTCCAGGATTATAAAACGTGGCATCCTCATAATATGTATCTGGTAAAATTGGTAGCGCGAAAAGAGCAGATCAATGTACTAACGCTAATTGTAATTTTCGGTGACAAATGTAGTTGCTGACCAATTTCCACTTTCATCTCATTTGTTACACCATCTCTCAGGACGAGAATGAAGAATATCATGCGTAAATTCGAGATGCTTTTTTCGAGGCTTCATCAATTTTAATGTTCAAATTGCCATTGCATTTGAATCAAGTTATGGTTTTCTGTCACGTTGCTTTTCAGTTTCTTCAGACTTTTTTGACTTTTTGCTAAAGATCAAACTGGGAGCAATGGTAATAAAAAGTAGTAATGTCTGCATTTGAGGTCATGCATATTTTTTATGAAAACTAAAAATAAAAACAAGTCAATAAAATAAGGGGACGATAGATATGAAGTAAATAAAAGAAAACGACTTGTACTTACATGTAAAAATATCCGTCACAGCCTTCAATATATTTTGCAATGTCGTTTATCATTGTTAGAGTGTCTTCAAATTCTTCCGTTTTAAGCACACATTAAATCGCATTCCTTGAGAATTATTTTCATAAAATTCATTATTCTCGTCTTTCAACACATCTGTTTCAATTCCCTTTTTCCAGTTTTCCGAAGTGGAAATGTAAGCAACCGCACGTGCAGTAGAGAGATGTATGTAATGTATGAATATACGTGGGGGGTTCAAAAAGTTTTGACACAGTGTACATATTTCAGCAACCACTGATCGTCTCAGCTTTATAAATATTTATATTAAAGCTTGAGTCATACTTGATTAAACATAAAAAATTTGACCCAT